ATTGAAGCTGTTATCAGAAGGCTCCCAACAAAGAAAAGCCCAGGACCATATGGATTCACAGAAGAATTTTACCAAACATTCAAAGAGGAATTGACACTGATTCCTTACAAGCTATTCCAAAAGTTTGAAACAGATGCAAATTTCCCAATCTCATTTTATGAAGCAAACATCATCCTGATACCAAAACCAGGTAAAGATATAACCAAAAAAGAAAAGTACAGGCCGATATCTTTGATGAATATAGACGCAAAAATCCTGAACAAAATACTAGCAAACAGAATACAGCAACACATACTTAAAATTATTTACCACAATCAAGTGGGATTCATCCCAGGGATGCAAGGTTGGTTCAACATACGCAAATCAATAAATGTGATACGCCATATTAATAAAATCAAATACAATGACCATATGATCATCTCTATAGATGCTGAAAAAGCATTTGATAAAATTCAACACTCATTCATGACAAAGACCCTCTATAAGTTAGGTATAGATGGAAAGTATGTCAAAATAATTAAAGCCATATGTGATAAACCCACTGCCAATATTATCCTGAATGGGGAAAAGCTGAAAGCTTTTCCTTTAAGAACAGGAACCAGACAAGGATGCCCACTCTCACCACTCCTATTCAACATAGTGTTGGAAGTACTAGCCAGAGCAATCAGAGAAGAGAAGGAAATAAAGGGCATCCAGATTGGAAAAGATGAAGTCAAACTGTCCCTGTTTGCAGATGACATGATCCTATATATAGAACAGCCTAAAGCCTCTACAAAAAAACTCTTGGAGTTGATAAAGGATTTCAGCACAGTAACAGGATAAGAAATCAACACACAATAGTCAGTAGCATTTCTATTCTCCAATAGTGAACATGCAGAAAGAGAAATCAAGAAAGCCTTCCCATTTACAATAGCCACCAAAAAAATAAAATACTTAGGAATTGAGTTAACCAAGGATGTGAAAAATCTCTATAATGAGAACTACAAACCACTCCTGAGAGAACTTAGAGAGGATACAAGAAGATGGAAAGATATCCCATGCTCCTGGATTGGAAGAAACATAGTGAAAATGGCCATACTACCCAAAGTGATATACAAATCCAATGCAATCCCCATCAAAATGCCAATGATGTTTTTCTCAGAAATGTAAAGAACTATCCAGACATTTATATTGAATAACAAAAGACCACGCATAGCCAAAGCAACGCTGAGCA